TAGAAAGGTAGGGGAGTCGCCTTCCCCCTCCCCCAAGGAGTTCATCAAGCTTTCTACGGCCCTCCTGGGTGTGAATGTGGTGAAGTTTGGGATTAGTATTGGAAAGTCATCGTTGTGCGTTAAAGGTAGCAGAGGGTATAGTGTCAGTCCATACGTCCCAGATGCCCTCCGCCAAAATCAAGCTCTTTGACATCAACTCAACTCGCCGTGTTTGGAGGAGGAGGAATGCTGCCTATGACCCAAGAACACCATCCCCAATGTCAAACATGGCGGTGGAAACATTATACTTTGGGGTTGTTTTACTGCTAAGGGGACAGGACAACTGCACAGCATCAAAGGGACCGTCAATTTGAGGGTGAGAACCACCTTCCCTCAGCCAGGGCATTAAAAATGGGTTGTGGATGGGTATTCCAGCATGACAATGACCCAAAGCACACAGCCAAAGCAACAAAGGAGTGACTCAAGAAGAAGCACATTAAGGTCCTGGAGTGGCCTAGCCAGTCCCCAGACCTTAATCAGATAGAAAATCTGTGGAGGGAGCTGAAGGTTCGAGTTGCCAAACATCAGCCTCAAAACCTTAATGACTTGAATAGGATCTGCAAAGAGATGAGATGAGATGAGATGTGTGCAAACCTGGTGGCCAATTACAAGAAACATCTGACCTCTGTGATTGCCAACAAGGGTTTTGCCACCAGCTACTAAGTTGAAGGGATCAAATCCTTATTTCACTCATTCAGAGGAGTATAGTGATTATAGCAATCCCCAGAGTGAATGTAGTTCTCCATTCCCCCAAACATGAGCCAAGACTTCATGAAGAGGTAAGCGAATCTCAGTTTAATGGGAGTCACACTTTGCCTTATATGACAATCCCCATGCAAAGGGTACGCCCACAGGGACCTTGTGAGGGACTGATTTGCAACTTCACAGACCAATAACAATAAGGTTGCAAGGCACGACACTCCCACACACAGCACACAATCCCTTCCCTTTGCCTGGGAGATAATTGGATCAGTAACTGTACTAAATTTAATCCAATTATCTCCAAGAACAGAAAAAACACACTTTTTCAAAACACCCGAAAAGTACCCTAAAAATACATAAAACCCCACAAATGTTCAGGGGTTCAGGAATTTCCTGGAAGTAATTTATTTGACCGACCGCAGGAATGGTCCCATTGCAGAAAATAGATCCATAGAATCGCGGCTAAGTGCCGCTGAGGAACCAACCCGGAACCGCAAAGTTTCCATGTCGAAAATAGTTCCAGGGCATTTGCGGCTAAGTCCCCCTGAAGTCTATTCTCGGTTTTGGTCCATGCGAACAAGATGGCCGCCTTGTGGTCGTTCATAGGAATTGCGGCCACCCAGACAAACACTTAGACCACTGCGGTGGAAATTGCAACCATATTTAAATTAACCTTAACAAGCTCCAGGGTGGTCTCCGGTTCGTGCGGCTGCTCAGTTACCGAACCATATAATTCAAAACAATGGATTTGAAATGAAATGAACAAGATGTGCTTTAACTGCAGACTTTCAGCTTTAATTTGAGGGATAATGAGGGATAATGAGGGAATAACACACACCTGACCATGGAACAGCTGAGCAGCCAATTGTCCCATTACTTTTGGTCCCTTGAAAAGTGGGAGGCACATATAGAAACTGTTGTAATTCCTACACTGTTCACCTGATTTGGATGTAAATACCCTCAAATTAAAGCTGAAAGTCTGCAGTTAAAGCACATCTTATTTGTTTCATTTTAAATCCATTGTGGTGGTGTATAGAGCCAAAAAGTTTAGAATTGTGTCGATGTCCCAATATTTATGGACCTGACTGTATATACATTTATACAAATACATGCATACATTTTATCTATCTATCTATCTATCTTTGATGGCCAATAGGAAGCTTTGTGCACTTTTTGAAAAAAGCTGGAACAGGGTACACTTGCATCCATTACTAATCCAAGTGTTGGTATCACAGCCCAGCACTCACTAGAAGTACAGTAGACTTGAGGGGCTTGTTCAAAATATCTCTGCAACACATAAAGATCCATAAGATCCATGACCTTCCTTATAGATTGTAAGCTCTTTTCAGCTGTGTCTTTTTCACCTCTTGTCTTTGTTATATTCTCAATATCAATTAAATGTTGTCAAATATCCCCTTTCTATGATTGTAAAGCGCTGCTGAGAATAGCACTATTTAAATGCTCATGATGATAATAATAAAAATGTGGACACTTTGAAAAACAAAAAACAAAACACTCCCATATTAAGGATTGCATTCAACTTATTGCCATCCTAAAGTCAATGTGATAGTTGAGTTGCAGATTTTGAGGTAACTTAAAGGGACACTATAGTCACCAGAACAACTACAGCTTAATGTAGTTGTTCTGGTGAGTATAATAGCTCCCTTCAGGCATTTTCATGTAAACACTGCTTACATTGCCCCTAGGGACACCTCCAAGTGGCAACTCCTTAGATGGATTTTGATGTCACTAAGGAGGCGGGGCCAGCTCCGGCAGACCCGTGGAGAGTTTAAAATAAGGTGAGTTTTAACTCATTCTGAGGGGCCTAAGGGGGGAGAGGTGGGGAGGCAAGCCACCTAAATAGTAGGTTTTCACTATAGGGTCAGGAATACATGTTTGTGTTCCTGACCCTATAGTGATCCTTTAAGGAACACCAATGTGTCACAATTCACTGATAGAAAACCACTGATAAACCACAAAAGCTTAAATTATATCATAGATAAAAACCTATGTATTAAAAGAATTGTAGGTAAAAACATAAAATATAAAATTAAATTTTCTTACCAAAGTACACATTCCAAAATTTCTTCTGTTGAAGAAGAAAAGAAAAAGAATATTAGACCAAAAAAAAAAAGTTGGAACTATGCAGAGTTTTTTATATCATTCTAAAAATCACCATGCCTACCACCTGATAAATAATAATAACAACACGTGAAACAGCCCACTTAACTTGTACAATAAATATACAATATCTAACTTTGTTACTTAGCACACTGTAATGTTTATGGTGCCAGGGTTGACGATGTAAGTAATCAAACCAATTGCTAATGGTTTAACTTCTAATCTGAAGTCTGCCAGGCACTGCTCCATGCCTCTTTGCAGCTGACCTTGCATTGCTGGGCTTTGTTCAGCAGAGCCAACAGAAGCTCCTAGCAGGGAATTCTGACTCTCAATACTGGAAGAGGAGAGGAAGGGACGAGTGTTCAGGTAAGTAGTTAAACCATTAGCAAGCAGTTTGATTATGTACATTGACAGGGGTCAGGTCACTCCTGGTACCATAACAACTGCATGTTGTAGTGTTTTTGTTGCTTGGAGAGTTCCTTTAAAAAAAAAAAAAAACTTATCAGATTGAAATTATTTTTTGTTTTAAAAACTTTATTGCATTTAATACAAATCCATGATTTTTTTTTTAGTTATGCATAAAAGTAAACATCACTTTTTATATCTGGCTGCATAAAAAAGCATAAATCTGCAGGGGGTTGAGAAAACACAGATACAGTGATATCGATCTCATTGCTCTGTGTCAACCTGCAGCAAGTTAGATTGACCAGCAGTTTGTCGGAAAACAGTGGAATGTTTCCCAGTTTTTAAGATTTTCTAGGGTTCCATTTGGTAATCATGGTAATTATTCCTATTTCTATGATTTCCACTTATTGTGCATTAAATTATTCAGATTTGCACTCTGAGGCCACTGCTAGTCAACTGTTTAACAAACAAAAGGCTCCCTTCTAGATTTGGAATACATAAACATTTTTAACAGGAACTTGTGTCTGTCCCGTGACAATGTAATATAGTTTTGCAATCTACGGCCATTTCCTTATCCTGTAATACTCCTCCCAGCAGTGAAGAGGTCTATCTTTGACACTGAAGTCAATTTCTCTAAAGAATGTATAATCATTTGTTGCTCTAGAATTTGTGTAAACTCCATGTGGTGCTTACTTTTAATAAGCCATCAAATACCCACTTCATGTAGCAAATAAGATTTCCCCAGTGACTTTGTACATAGACACTAGCTTTGGCTCCCAATGTTGAGCTTTTCATACGGTAAAGTGCTTATCCAGGTGTTCTGACTTTTTGTAGTGAAGACACGTCAGACAGTTTTATTCACTAAAGTGAGACTTCAAAGGGATTCAAAGAGAATTTTAAATTCAAGACCAGAGTAGCCAGACCGAAAGCATAGCTAACTTAGAGATTTTTTCTAGTGAAATTCACTTTTAATCCTCACGTTAGCAAATAACAATGTTAGGTTCTTTCTATTCTTTTGTGTCCTCATGGATTAAGAGAACTACCTCTGGTTTAGATTTTCCTTCGCTGCCCATATTTTTCTTTATTTATTCAATTTATTTGATTATTCTAGTATAACTTCAAACTCAGGTCTAGGTTCTAGGCTAGGGCATGCATGAGACTCCGGAAGGGGGCATCTGAATAATGCCACTGTGTGATTTTATATATATATATATATATATTATATATATATATAAAACAAGAGGGGGTTGGCTGCACTCACCTTAACATGCATAAATGGGGGTGCTGCTGGGGGCCAAATAATACAATACACAAGATCCAGCGCACTCACCTATCCACTAAACAACAACTTCAATGTTGAAAGATTTTATTTGTTTTTTTAAAAACACCTAATCTAGGCAAAAATAATGGGGGTTTAGTTACATTATATGATCATACATTGCATAAGCCTGCCACAACGTCAATGTACCCCATCTTTGGCAGGTCCTACACTAACAGCCTAATGTCTGCTCTTATGAGATTAACCTACTTGGGGAAAGAAATTCCATCTGGGGCTCTCTGCAGTACAAGGCTAAATAGGGCCCTGGGATGAGGCACCTGTAACAGGGAGGGGTGCAAAACCAAGGAGTTGGCTAGACTCCCAAATATATATAAAACAAGAGGGGGTTGGCTGCACTCACCTTAACATGCATAAATGGGGTGCTGCTGGGGGCCAAATAATACAATACACAAGATCCAGCGCACTCACCTATCCACTAAACAGCAACTTCAATGTTGAAAGATTTTATTTGTTTTTGCAATGTATGATCATATAATGTAACTAAACCCCCATTATTTTTGCCTAGATTAGGTGTTTTTAAAAAAACAAATAAAATCTTTCAACATTGAAGTTGCTGTTTAGTGGATAGGTGAGTGCGCTGGATCTTGTGTAATATATATATATATATATATATATATATATATATATATATATATACACAAAATACAAATTACAGCGCACTCGCTTATTCACTAAACAATGATTTCAAATCTTAGAGATTGTAATAGTTTTATATAGAAACGCCTCACCTAGGCAAAACATAATGGGGGTTTAGTTACATTATATGATCATACATTGCATAAGCCTGCCACGTCAATGTACCCCATTGTTGGCAGGTCCTATCCTAGCAGCCTAATGCTTGCTCTTATGAGATTAATCCACTTACTTGGGAAATGCTTCCTCACTGGGACTCTCTGCAAGTCAAGGCTAAATAGGGTCCTGGAATGAGGCACCTGTGACAGGGAGGGGTGCATTGACGTTGTGGCAGGCTTATGCAATATATGATCATATAATGTAACTAAACCCCCATTATTTTTGCCTAGGTGAGGTGTTTTTATATAAAACTATTACAATCTCTAAGATTTGAAAGTATTGTTTAGTTAATAAGCGAGTGCGCTGGATTCTGTATTTTGTGTATTTTGGCCCCAGCAGCACCCTATAATGTATGCATGTTTAGGTAAGTGCAGCCCTTTTGGTTTCATATATATATATATATATATATATATATATATATATATATTCCCCAAAAGCACAAACGCTTTCCACAGTTTCTAGAACAACCTTCATTTATTTATGTATTTCCATTTTTTTCTAACTTTGCTTTACACAGTTTCCGTAGAAAATACAGTTGATTACTTCAGGTTGAATGCTCATGCAGTTTCTGTAATGAGTTTCAGTTACATATTACAGTGTTTCCCTTTCTGATGTTATTTATTTAATCACTTGATACTAGTAAGCATGTTATTGCTTTTTCTAAGCTGTTTTTTCCTTTTTTTCCTACCCTGCTCTGACTGTATTTACTTAGTGACACTATTTACTTAGTACATACCATAAGTCATAAGTTAACAAATTGTACAATATTTACAACTTGATATTTTCCATTCTTCAAATTTCACTGCAAAATTCCTACTTACCCCACCTGCTGGGTTTATTGTTTGTTTGTTTTTTCAACATTTTCTTCCAGTAAAATAACTTTTTATTTGTGACATTTTGCTTTGAGCTGAAGAAGGATCAATTTCTTTCTCGTTGACATAGGTATATCCATACCTCCCAATATCGGCGTCCTGGGATACTGGTTGGAGGGGGTAAAGGTCAATAACACTATTGTGTCACTGGCTCCACCCAAAGGGTTTGACCTGAGGGGGGCACCCAAATTACTGTTAGGTCAACCTGGAATGAATGCACGCTCTCACTTCACTGTTTGAGCACATTTTCCATTCTTTCGAACCTGTCCTTTTAAAATTGTGATGGTTGGGAGGCATACCTCTGTCTATTCTGGTTCCATAAACTGTTAGTCATGCTTCTTAATAACTTAAAGAAACACTCTGGGCATCATAACATCTTACATCTCCGGCACCAGCTTACCAGTTCACAAGCAGTTTAACCACAAATTCTTGAATTCAGCTCTTTTAAGCTCTTACTCTGCCCCTCTGAGTCTGTTATTATGAGCTACTGATTGGCTTAGAGCATCAGCTGACACTTTCTAACAATCAGCGGAATCACCACTGCAGTGGTTTCAATAAAATTGCCTGGTTTGTGCCTTGGAGTGCCTGGACCTTTCTTCTATTTTGTTACCTGATTTAATAGACACATATCTGAAAATGTTTGGTTTGATAATTACATTTTAAAAACTACATGTATATCTTGACCTATCTTGAAAAATGCACGGTGCAATAAACCCTTGATTGCATAATTGAATTTTAATTAATGCATACTATATCTGTTTCACGTATAACAATGTGAAGTCTTTTTTTAAATTCATTATCTTATAGGTTTGATTTGTCACATTCTTGCAGGATTATTCACCAAAGAGAATTCAATCAAGATTCAAAGTAAATTCCAAACTAAAGGCCAGAGTAGCTGTAGTGAAAGCACAGTTGACTTGGAGAAGGTTCCCAGTTCGATTATTTTGACCTTGTATTTGAAATTCACTTTCAATTCAGTTTGAACTCTCACTTTTGTTAATAACCACGAGATTTTTTACCGTTTGCTCTTCATTCTCAAAGACTTCCCGGGCTTCCTCGTATGAACAGGTTTCTTCAACACATTCTCTTTCCAAGTTTCCTTTCTTAAATTCTTCAAAAGCTGTGTTTGCGCGTTTTAATCTCGACAGCACACTAAGGGCATTTTCTTGCTTTAAAAAGACTGTGAATAAACATTGTACAACTTAATATTGACACAAAGATACACTGAATACAGTCAAAGTGTAAAAAATAACTGTTTACAGCAGTAATCACTTCATTTTCAGAGTGAAAATTTACAATGCAGAGATTGTTTATAAAAAGTAAAAACTCTAAGGGAGGGGTATAAATATATGTTTGAGGTGCATTCAAGATCTGAGATGTATTCAAATACTACTATCTATACAAGATACAGAATGCACACTATAACAGCCACAATTAATAATATAAATCTTTAATTATGACAACTGAAACAATCATTACATAAGAAGACAAAGCAAACAGTAATCCATACCGTAAGTTACCTACATCTCACAAACCCCAGGAAAGAAACACAAGTCACCAATCCCCCCAATGCTTCAGTTATTGCCTATATAGTTTGCACCTAGTTATTGCGTAGATTATTATTTTTTGTCTCTCCATGTGTTTTTGGTTATTAAAATACTACTATCGCCACAAAACCACAAGAGTTGATAAAAAAAAGTGACAAACAAAATCGACAAGGTCTTAAAATTATAATATCTTTATTGTGGTATTTTTATGTTCAAAATTCTAAATTTATAAATTGTCATACTCTGTAAACCTTTGTATTGATGCTTATAGATTGAAACAATCAACATGAGTTTGGTTCTGATAGGATTAGGTATCAAAGTAGAGGATTTACCCTAAATGCCATTAAACTAATTTCTAAATGTGTATTCCAACTGTGGGTGGGCTGATACTATTGCGAGGACATGCGTCTTAGTTGACATGCAAGAAAATATAAAAAAAGCTGCATGCTCACTGACCCATTTCTATGGCCTGGGTGCAGGAAATGGCTAGGGTAATAGAAGACAGGGAGGGAGAGGAAATGGGGTACAAAAATACACAAGACAATTGGGAATACTAACAATTGGAAAGGGAAGATAGTAACAAAATAAAAATACAAAATACAAAGAGATGAATAGCAAAAAAAAATAAAAAGGGGTGGTATAAAGGAAAGCAAATAGGAGAGAGGGAGGAACAAAAGAGATAAGTCTGGAATTTATGTTAGCCCCAGGGTTACTGGTTAAACAGTGATTAGAAAGAAAATTTACACTACAGAGATTTAAATTTTAGGCAATTTAGAGATTGAGGTAGCACCTAACAAATAGATACCATTGGTAAATATGCAGATACAGTTACTGCTAAAAGAAAATTTTCCATAGGATTTTACATTCTCTAAGTAAGCATCTTTTATTAAAAATGTAGTATTCAGCCCGATTATTATTTACCCCTCATTAAATAATCATTAGATCATAGAGAGAAGCTTAAACAATTATACCTAAATCTATTTTATACAGATAAACAAAATTATACATGCATACATAATGAAGGATAAAAGTCAGACTCTACTGCAAAATATATCTTTCTTGTTCTATATTAATTAGTTGAATTTTTCTTTCCGTAATGTTAAATATTTATCACAAACAAAAAAAAATTAAAACAATGTCTCCATTTTTAAAAAAAATTTGAATAATACATGCAGTACAATTACATGCCACACCATCATGACAGAGGTTTATTTTGAAATTTTAGGGATCCCTAATAATGTAATTTGTCCGGAATGCATTTTAAACTTGTTTTAATATATGTACAATCTTGTTAAGCATAATTTGTATTTTAGTACTGTTTTAGTGTGTTGTATCTTGTCTTTTTATATATGTATTTTGTCTTTTGCTTATTTAAACAAACACATTTTTTTAAGAATTATGTAGTAAAAATTTGTGTGCATCAGCTATTATCAATATGAGCCTTATATAATTCCTGATACTTTATTTTGTATATATGAGGCTAGAATACCCAAATATCCTTTACGTTTTAATCATGAACACTGTCACGCTCTGAAAATATTTCTGTGCATTTATGTTCCATTCAGGAAAGTATTGATTCCTTACCTTGGTCCTAAAATTTTAGTTTTAGAGAATGTTTTTATGTATAAATAAACTATCTATATGTGTACTTAGAAGCGACTTAACGCACTGTACAAGAGGTTTGATTTCAGATATATTTAATACATTTAAATTTGAATAAAATTCAAACAATTAAAAAAAATTATAATTTTGCAAATAATTTTCTACTACAAGATTCTATAGATCACAACATTTTGTAGATTACTTTACATGTAATTGAACAATGTGACTTTTTAAAGTTATTTTAGCTAATTACATTTTCACTATTTAAATTGAACACTGTGTATAAAATACATCAATACCATAACATTAAAAAATCTCTAGAAACGTTAAAAAGTCCTAAACTCATGACACTTGATCATTATCTTATGTACTTAAATTACAGGATCCTTACTATGTCTAAATCAAGTATGCAAATGTTTTAAACTATAGCAACATGTGAGATGCAATTTTTCATTCTCTATTTAAGGATATAGATCACTGTATACACTAAATCTAGATTTAAAAAAATATAACCATTTTCCTATGCTTTTGAAAAAGGCATTTGTATTACAAAAATAGTCATTGCTCAGATCATTAAAGATTAAACAATGTTTAAAAAAAAGTCTAATAATTGAGGGATTTCCCTGTGTTTGTTTTTAAATGCAAAAGTGACTCTATGATTATATGTAAGAAAATCTGTTTACAATATAAAAAAGTTCCCAAGATTTCAACATTCTATTATGTAACACAATATGTGATATGTTGTCCCCTAAGAACATTTTACTTTATC